GGCGAATCGAGGAGCGGGGCGCACCGCCGGGCACGCTGCTGCTGCACGCGGATCGGCTGTGGCTGCGCGAGGGCAGGCTTCCCGCGCTGCCGCTCTCGCGGCGGCGTGGCGGCAGCGACCTCGCGGGCGTGGTCACCTTGCGCGAGGTTGCAGGCTTGGGCGGTGGGGACAACCTCGTCTCCTTCTCTCCCTTTGGCAGGCCGGGCTGCTGGCTGGCGGCGCCGCAGGGCGGATCGGGCGGGCAGGTGGAGCTGCTCTGCCTCCACCGCGGCGTGCAGCCTTCTCCGGAGCAGGCGAGGCGCGCTTCGTGGAGGCGGCACGACCCGCTGCTCGCCGCGGCGCACGGCTCGCCGCACTTGCGAGGATGCGCGACACGTGCTGGAGCAGTAGCTGCGAGCGGGAGAGCGACTGCTGTATAGGCGGCTTCCAGAGCTACGAGTCGCTCCACGCGCCGGGCTGTTTCCTCTCGACCGCCGCCGGCGCAGAGGCGGGCGCGAGCAGCGCCACGGGCTACGAAGTGGGCGACGAGCTGGCGACGCGCCTCACGCCGGTGACGCTACAGCGCAAGCCGTCCGGCGAGAAGGAGGTGCCGGCTGTGAAGCGGTTCGCCGCGCTGAGCTCGTTTGAGGAGGCGGTGGGAGCGGCGAGCTACCCGGCGGCCGCCTGGTTCTTGCGCCCTTCCCCGGGCCGGCCGGAACTCGCCTCGGCCGTGGTGTGGCCGCTCTCTGAGGTCATCGACGAGACGTACTCGGTGTATTTTGATCTCCAGTAGCTCGCGTGGCTTTTTTTTCTCTCACGACGCCGGCTTTCACGGCTCGCCCCGGCGCCCGCCCTCTCGTTTTAGCATTTATGTATGTAAAAGAGGGAACCACGAGCGCGAGCGGCAGCGGCCGGCGCCGACTACGCGAGGCGACGGTCGCAAAGTGGGTTCACCTGCCGAAAAAAGTGGGGGCGACGAGCCGAAAAAGAATTATGCTTAGTATATGTAGGAAGGTGAAGAACAGTCAGAAGGACACGGTGAACGAAGAAAAAGAATTCGGGCTGGGCCATCCGACCCCCATCCGCCCGCGCACCGCGTTGCCAATGACGTTCCCCGAAGAGTGGGGCGCCGGCGGCGGCGACGGCGGCCCGACCGAGTCGAAGCTCGTCCCGCTCTCGATGCAGAGCAACGAGGCGCTCCTCATCAAGACGCTGCTGGCGCGGAGCTGCCCGAGCGCAAGGCTGAGCCGCGTGCAGCGCGTGCAGAACAAGAAGCTGTGGCGCGCGTACTCCAACCACCGCGACGAGGAGCTCGTCCACAGTTGCGACGGCGGCGACGTCAACGAGATGCTCCTCTTCCACGGCACGGCGGAGCGGGCGGCGGAGGATGTGCTCGCACATCAGAACGGGCTCGACCCGCGCTTCTCGAACGGCGGCTTTTACGGCCAGGGCATCTACCTGGCGGAGGACCCGTCGTACCCGATCGGCGGCCGGTACGCGCACCGCATCTCCGGCTCGGGCGGCAGCCGCGTGCAGCTGCTCATCGTGAAGGCCGCCCTCGGCTCGCAGCAGGAGATGGGGCAGCGCATCAGCGCGGAGTCGAGGGCGATGCGCATGCCGGACGTGCGCGTCGAGGGCCCTCCCCGACTCCTCTACGACAGCGTGCGCGGCGGGCCGCACCGCCCCTTCGTCTCCGGCGGAGGCGAGAACGGGTGCGACGCCTCCATCGTACACGTTGTGTACGAGTCGCGCCAGATGTACCCGGCGTACGTGATCGAGGTCGAGATGGAGATGGGGGCCGAGGTGGTGGCGGCCGTGCAGAACAACTCAGCCGAGGGGAGTGCTCCGGCACCCAAGCGGCAGCGGCACGCTGCGCCGAGCGGTGGCGGTGGCGGCGGCGCCGGCGCCGGCGGCGGCGCCGGCGGCGGCGGCGGCGCCGGCGGCGGCTCCAGCAGCGGCGGCGGCAGCGGCGGCTCCAGCCATTCTGCTGCTCATGTCCCCGCCGCTGCGCCACCGAGCGCTGCGGAGGTGCTGGCGATGGACGTGGCGGCAGCGGTGGCGGCGCTGCGGGCGCACGGGTCGGTCAGTCGCGTCGCACTTGCGGCTTGCGGGCGGTTGGGCCGTCTGTGCAAAGAGGCGCAGAACAAGCAACCCGCGGCGGACACGGGCGCGCTCGAGGCAATCGTGGCGGCGCTGCAGGCGCACCCGCAGCATGCGGGCGTGCAGCAGTTTGGATGCTGGGCGATGGGCAGCGTGTGTTTCGGCTTCGACGCCGCAGCGTTCGCACGTAAGCAGCGCGCAGCAGACGCGGCCGGCATCGAGGTGGCTGTGGCGGCGCTGCAGGCTCACCCGCAGGTGGCGGGTGTGCAGCAGAATGTTACCTGCGCGATG